CCCGATTAGTTTTAAAATATTTGCTAAGATAAAGTTAGGGAGATTTGATTTAGAGTTACCGATTTTCGTTGCCGATATTGGAGAGGATTGTATTTTGGGCGCGGATTTCTTTTCACGAATAGGGATGCAAACTGTTATAGAATCTTTTCTCCGTGGAGGTCATAGGGAAGATTTTTGTCGTCGAATTAAGCAAGAGGACGAAGCTGTGCCCGCGGAGTTGGAAGAATTCTTTAATAATAATTCCCGAGAGTTGGAGGAAGATCAGAGATTAGTTTTCGCTACATTGTTGCGAGAATTTCGTGACGTGTTTTCGGAGCAAGCTGTTGCAGGAAAGTGTGAAGTTCTTCAACACAAAATTGAGTTAATGGATTCTTGTCCTATCAAACAGGCTCCTAGGAGAATTCCAATTCATATGCGTTCAGAAGTTGAAAAAATTATGGAGGATATGAAAGAACAAAGGGTAATTGAAGAATCTTCAAGCCCTTGGGTTTCTCCAGCAGTTTTGGTAAAGAAGAAAGATGGATCTCTTAGATTTTGCATTGATTTTCGGAAATTGAATGCGGTTACGAAAAAAGATTCTTATCCGCTACCAAGGGTTGACGATCTTCTTGATCAGTTATCGGGAAATGCCTGGTTTTCTACTCTAGATTTGAAGAGTGGTTATTGGCAACTGAAAATTCGTCCCGAAGATAGGGAAAAGACTGCTTTTTCTGTGGGGAATGGACTTTGGCAATTTGTTGCGATGCCTTTTGGTCTGTGTAATGCCCCAGCTACCTTTGAACGTCTTATGGAACGGGTGTTACGGGGTTTACTTTCGAAAATTTGCCTGGTTTATTTAGATGATGTGATAGTATTTGGCAAAACCTTTGAGAAAATGAAAGAGAATTTAAGAGAGGTTCTTTTGAGATTTCGTGCTGCGAAACTTAGTGTTAACCCAAAGAAATGTGATTTATTTAAGAGACAGGTAAAATATTTGGGTCATGTTGTTTCTTCTGCCGGGATCACTACGGATCCTGAGAAGACTGAAGCGGTCACTGAGTGGCCAGTTCCTCAGAATAAGAACAGGTCCGGAGTTTTCT